TTAAAAATACTAAAAAACAAAAAGTGCAAATCTTATTTTCTTTCATTTATTATTATACAAAGTTGAATATAATAAACTACATTGCATTATAAAATATATATTTATTAACAATGCGTTATATTCAGTAAACTATTTCAAATTTTAACATATTATAAGTATAAAGCGTTTAGTATACCGTTTAATAAAAAAATCACAAATATGCAGAACAGCTACGTGTTTTACCAACTTTTACACATATAAAGTACTGAAAACTTATAAATTTGATAACGAAAGTAATATTGCACACACAAGTCCTGATGCTTGTAAACAAAAAAAAGAAAAAGTCTCTATACTATATTAATATAGCGACAAAATAAAATTCCATTTTTTTTTCAAAACAATCGAAAGTATAAATCATTTTTCGCAATCGCATAAAATTAGAAAAAAATAAAACTGAAATTGATTTCACGTTACGCATAAAAAAATAGATATTTTTGTCGCAGACATTTTGTTGTTTTAAATATAGAGCAGAGCATAGTTCAGCCATAATATGCTATAAAAATCGTCAAATGACAATAAAAAAATCGTCAAATTTTAAAACAAAAGAAACACAAAAATAATCTTATTTTTTTATTCTTTTCCCCATACTGCCGTCATCTTGGCGACGACCAAGGTGCTTGCTTTAGCCACAGTGAAGTAGCTGCATCAATCTCTGGGATTTCTGTTTCTGGCCTTTTGTCTAAAATGGCACCTAAAAATGCAATAATTTTTATATTTATTAAATTTATTAAATTTAAATTTTAAATTATTTTATTATATTAAATTTTTAAATTATTTATATATTAAATTTTATTTTATTTTATTGATTAATTTATATTTATATTATTCTCTTATTTGAAACGATTCTTAGTTGGAAATAAATATAAGTTTACTTACCTTGAACAACTTCATACAGCATCAGCTTTTCGAAACATTTTTTGGATAAATGTTTACCACTTTTTAAAGTAAAGTCTGCTGCCAATGTGTTTGAAATAAGTTTCCTTAGTACTTTATATGTAGCTTCCTTAATATTGTCTTTAGGACCAATAATTTGACTCATGTAACAAATCTGGAAAAAATCAAAATTTAAGCAAAGAAAATTAATATTAATAAATATTAAAAACAAATATACTATATATATATATAATAAAAGCGATAAATATTTATTTACAGTTGCACCAGCATTATCATCTTTCGTTAAATATTTTTCAAATTTTTCTAATTCTTCCTCTGTTGTCAATGGAAGTGCTGGAAGATCTGCTGGTCTTATTATTCTTTTCTCATGTGGTAGAAGAAAGCGATTTAATCTGCATAAATTCATAGTAATCATATCTAATTTGCTACTAATTTCTTGATTTAACGAATACATCTTTTTTTCAAAAGCTTTCATATCAAAGGTCGCTTTAGACACATCTAATACACTACCTGTAAAAAAATCAAAACGTAATATTTGATGCTTTAGAAAAAATTAAAGGTACAAAGTCATATATGTTACTTGATCTACAAGATGACTCGGTGTAGTTACAGCTGTCACATGTGAAGTAACTGGACTCTTTTGACGTAATTCTGATGAGGATTTTTCATCAGATATATTTGCTTCATAAATACAGTAATCTTTTGATGTACCTGGTGTCTCTATATTTATCGATCTTGCACTTGTACTTGGAGATACATCTTTATTTGATGACATATCCTGAACTTTCATTGAAAAATCGTCCTCTCGTGGAATATTAGGATCAATATTTCTTCTGTAGCATTATCAGAATCCATCTTTACACATGAAAACATTTCAAGACTTTATTTATACCAATAAAATTATGACTTACATCACATTGCATGTGCGACGTATAGAAATACTTACATTATCTTCTATTAAACATTTCTGTTTTTCTCTTGCAATCTCTATGATTTTTGTTTTGTTATCCGTAACTGAAGTTATCTTCCTTGCTTGACATATTTTTGTAAGTAAGAGATCCTTTTTAGATTTATGATTTTTAGAAAATGTCAACATTGCGTCATTTTTTTTTCTAATTGTTTATTTTTCTGTAATCTTTCAAATTTTTTTGTTTTGCTATCTGTGATAATATTGTTTTGATATTGTTTTACTTTATTATTTTCTGATCGAAACAAGATAAGTGGCGGAGAAGGAGCATGTTTAAATTTATATTTTTTATAGCACTATCATCTCTATCAAAATCTGAATCATCAGAAGTTGAAATATTTTTAAATTTCTTTTTTTTTGTCACTTCTGTCGAGAGAGATTCATCACATGCAAACTGCCGCTTAATTTTTTTACGTTTACCACGACCAAATTCACACTCTGTTTCATAATTAGACGACATAATATATCCATTTCGTGCATTTCGTGCAGCCAAAAGTGTATCTAGGAAATACAATTAAAAAGACAATTAACTTTTTATAAGCAAAAAATATGCAATAAGAAACAACATACCATAACATTTTAAAACAGTAACATTATATATCGGCCATGAAGGAAGTGCATCTATTTCTTTTTAATTGCAGTACTCTGCTCAGATTTAGGAGGCCAAGAAATTTTTGCATTTGTTTCTTCATCTAATTGTTTTAGCCATTTAATAAGACCAACTTCAAATAAAGAATCGTCTTCCTCGTCGCAATCAACATCTTCATTTATAAATTTCAAAACGACAAACTGAAAAAATAATGATTTTGATATGTAATGACTTAAAATTTTTCTAACAATAAAATACATAAAAGAATTAACTTTACATACACTTACAATTAGATACACAATATAGACGACATAATATATCAAAATTCTATTTGTAAAAGGACATAGTATGAAGTAAAGGTATGCAAACATATTCATCTTTTATAGGAATGAGCCAACATTTGGCAATAATATTATTTATAGAAAATACCAATCTTTCTTCACTTAAATCAGATACTTTGACAATGCCAAGTTCAGACGAATGCAAAGGATATGTATAAAAATCTGTAATATTTTTAAAAATATTGCCAACAAAAATTATATTATCCTGATTGCGAATGACATTTCTCAGGACTCCAATTTTACCTTCACTTGTTTTGAAGCATGAATCTCTATTATTTACTTCAAAAATAACATCATTTACTGAAATTTTTTTAAACTGTTCACCATAAATATTTTCATTGATATTTCTATGTTTTTTTGAAAAAATAATGTTATTTATATCAGAATCTAAAAGTACAACGTTTTTCTTACTTTGTTCTAGCTTACGTTTTGCTGCTTGTTGAATGGGTTTAAAACCAGATTTGAGGTTACTTTTAATCATTTTTAATTTGTTTTCATAACGAAAGGCACTAAATGTATCTAAACAACCATGATCAATACATTCTTGTGCCAAATGGCAAAGAGAGTGAACATTATATACAACAAATAATTTTCCAAATAATGTGATAGAATGTTGGATAAAAGTTCTGAGTAGAGTATTTGCATACTCGTTAAAACTTTTATAAAGAATGGGACTTGTAAGAATATAAATTCCACAATGCAATAATAGAAAGTGCTTATAAATATTTATATCAGGATGTGAAGCAAAAGCTGCTATGCCATCGTATAAACATAAACGACGGAATTCCGTTGCTTTGTAAAATGATAATTCATGTAAAGATCTGGGTTTTCGAGCAAAGTCCTGAGGACAAGAAGGGGCTAACAGAATCAGCCTATCAGATATTCTGTTTACAACAGTCCAGTGTAGTTTCCATGGACTTATCCAATTCTTCCATGCTTCTAATAATCTCTTAAACACACCTTCATATACCAAATGCATAGGCTCTAATCGAAACTGAGAGACCATTTTGGTATTAAGTTGAAGAAGAGGTGATACTCCTTTATGATGGCGAGGTTGCATTTGATTTTTAAAACTTTCGTCAGTTCTTAAAGGAGCATGTAAATCAATATACGTTTGCCTATAATCTAATCGTTCTCCCCATACTGTACATTTTTCACATGAAGCTGGTCTATCCATTATGGCCTATACAACATTTTATTAATTCTCTAGCTGGAGCATCAAGAATATAATGTCTAATTAAAAAAATAAAAGTTTTTCCATATCGTACATAACCATTAGAAATTAGATTATCAACTTCAGTTACAAAATCTTGCAAAAACTCTTTCACATTATTTGGATCAGAATTCCCAAAATAAATAGCAATAATGAATGGATAATTTTTAGTTCCTACGAGATGTCCTAATATTGGCCAAAATTTTTTCTTTGAACTTCGAAAAAGAGGGAGTCCGTCAGTATTAATATCTATTTCAATTTTTTGTTTTACTTGCAAGTACTTTTTTAAATTAAGCCCATCCAAATAATTTTTAATTCCTCGATACCAAAATTGTCCTCTATTTTCAAAGTGAATAATATGTATATCGTCATCAATTTTCAATAAAGTTTTATAACATTTAGGCAGATTATTAAATACAGGTTGAAGTTTTGCAAGTAATTCATCTATTTTTGACATAGAAATAACACCACCTGATAAAGCCCATTGACGTAAAGCTAATATTACATAATTTTCCTTTTGCTGATCATTTTCAAAAACTGTATTAACATTTTCATCTTCATTTTCACTTTTATTCGTATTTTCACTTTCATATATACTTTCATCTGTATTTTCACTCTCATCTATACCTTTGCACTCATTTATATTTTCATTTTTATCTCTATTTTCACTCTCATCTATACATTCATTTTCATCTCTATTTTCACTTTTATCTATATTTTCATCAAAACTCATGACATTAGAAAGTCTTTCGAAAGCTATATCTTCTTGAATCTCAAGTTCACTTTGAGAATAATGATTTAAATCTATTAATTCATTAAGTTGCAAATTTTCTTCTTCAGAGTCTCTTGAAATTGACAAATTGCTGTTGCTCAAACTATTGCACTTGAGTCTACATTTTGATTCTAATAATTTATTAACTCTTTTTAAAATATAATCTTGTCGCTCTTTAACTTTCAACCTTTTTATAACTATGGTCTCAGCTCTTTCCTTCCAACTACGTTTATAACACTATATATATAAACAAAAAATGAAATAATTGACATGTGATAAAAAAATGTATAAAACTATTTTCTTTGTTTATAGAAACAATAGAATAGAACTGATTATATATATCCAACTGCTACCTTTTATTATTCAAAGCAAAAATACTTTTTTACACACTTTATCTGACAAATACGTGGAAAGCAACGTACAGAATTAAAAAATTTAAATATAAAAACTCTAAATCAAAATACAGAGAAAATGTTTATTATAGGTTACGTTGTCACAAACACTTAATAACCGCGCGCCTATATTTTGTATCCTATTATTATTTTATATAAAAATAATAACAATCAAGTGTAAGAAAAATAGTACTTACCCGCTTAGTAACGTCAATATCCATTGTGATAATTAAAAATGCGATAATACATTTGTAACATAAAAGCAATATCCGCAACGTGCGCATTCACTCTAACGGATGGTCATACATATATATCATACATTACCCCCGATCTACGATCGTAGCGACGCAACTTAAGGGTATAACACACACATCGAAAGATTTTACCAATTGCCGAATCAAGCAATGTGAAAGGTGTGTTATAGCTTTTCTGACGCGCTGTTCAATCACGGGCCCGCAAGAATTTTTTAAGCGATTATAAATTGAATCATTTAGGCCAGATTCCACAACTCACTTTAATAACCAAAACTTAAATCGTTAAACCTAATCAGGATTGGTTCATAACGAGTTAGACTTCGGTTAAAGAGATCAACGTTGAATCAACGTTGCACTTCATCTGATTGGATGATTGATATTGCAGTAATATCAACTTTCTTATCGACTCAACTAGCTGTCAACCATATCGACGTTGAATCAACCTTGAATCAAGGTTACATTTCTGACTGGGATGTAAATTATAGTAAATTAAATTAGATGGTTTTCGCAATATACAAGACATAAAAAGTAAGAAGTCCTCGTAATGTACGTTTCGTACTTATTATATACGTGGTACTCATAATATACAAAAGTTGGTAAAGAAATTGTGAGAATCGGCCTACATACCCAGATAACCAAGCGTGCGATTCCTGCACAAAATACCGCTACTGTACTATTACTGTGCCGCCACGAGATGGCAGCATACGGAGTAACCGTATGGTAACAGTACAAAACCAATACGTGATATTGTAGTACAGCGTATCATCATTGTACCTGTACTACGTATTAGTGCATATTATCGGTACATATCGTACAATACAGTTCGTACGAACCGTACCTTACCAATATGGCGTATACAAATATTATTTTTTATAAAATTTAAAAAAAGGTAAATATTGTAGGCCAACTAAACAAGCAATTAAATAAGATCTAAAGATTTATTAATAATTAAATAATTAAATTCTCATTCCGTTAGAGAAACAATATACAGCGTAAACGTTTCGACTGCACTACAGTCTTTTTTAATACATAAAAATCAAATATTAAAATACAAAGTTAGTTAAATATTAAAATACAATGTTAAACGATTCTTCGCTGATGACCAATGGATGAGTAAAACGATTGGTCTGAGATTTCAAGTTTTGCGACATTTAATCATGCTGTGGATATTTTACGCGAATTAAATTAATATCAGAGAAAATGAAAAAATCTTTCAACTTACATTATCGTTTTAACAAGTTCTTCTTCTCGACATTTCAAGTGTGTGTTGCGAAGTCTAAATTGGTCATCAGCGAAGAATCGTTTAACTTTGTATTTTAATAAAACTCCATCTTCATCTCGACTAAGAGCCAAACACGATGTTATTGCGACAAATTAAGATTTAGAAATTTTTGGAAACTGAGGAATTTGAATCCTATGGTTGGGATCTCAGAAATTCCCCTTGTTCCTTCTCTTAACATCCCCTGTAAGAAAAAGACGAGAAAAATATTGGTCCAAAAATCGGCTGAATCGGGAATCGAACCCGAGACCTTCCGCTTGCCGGGCGACTGCTCTTCCAACTGAGCTATTCAGACACTTACAAATCAATATTTCTCTCAATGTTTATAACCCCCCACCCCCCCACCAAGGCGTCGTACCTGGTCCAAACGCAACAAACATTAATAATAATATTTGTCTGTCAGCTCTCCTATTTTTTAAAAACTCCATCTTCATCTCGACTAAGACTTTCGGACCAATATTTTTCTCATCTTCTTCTTACAGGGGATGTTAAGAGAAGGAACAAGGGGAATTTCTGAGATCCCAACCATAGGATTCAAATTCCTCAGTTTCCAAAAATTTCTAAATCTTAATTTGTCGCAATAACATCGCGTTTGGCTCTTAGTCGAGATGAAGATGGAGTTTTTAAAAAATAGGAGAGCTGACTGACAAATATTCTTATTAATGTTTGTTGCGTTTGGACCAGGTACGACGCCTTGGTGGGGGGGTGGGGGGTTATAAACATTGAGAGAAATATTGATTTGTAAGTGTCTGAATAGCTCAGTTGGAAGAGCAGTCGCCCGGCAAGCAGAAGGTCTCGGGTTCGATTCCCGATTCAGCCGACTTTCGGACCAATATTTTTCTCGTCTTTTTCTTACAGGGGATGTTAAAAGAAGGAACAAGGGGAATTTCTGAGATCCCAACCATAGGATTCAAATTCCTCAGTTTCCAAAAATTTCTAAATCTTAATTTGTCGTAATAACATCGCGTTTGGCTCTTAGTCGAGATGAAGATGGAGTTTTTAAAAAATAGGAGAGCTGACTGACAAATATTCTTATTAATGTTTGTATTTTAATATTTAACTAACTTTGTATTTTAATATTTAACTAACTTTTTATTTTAATATTTATAACTTTGTATTATAATATTTGATTTTTATGTATTGAAAAAGACTGTAGTACAGTCGAAACGTTTATGCTGTATATTGTTTCTCTAACGGAATGAGAATTTAATTATATAATTATTAATAAATCTTTAGATCTTATTTAATTGCTCGTTTAGTTGGCCTACAATATTTACCTTTTTTAAATTTTGTTAATTTATACGAGCCTTTCATTAATTAATTTTATTTTTTATATTTTTATATTATATTTTGACAGCATTAAAATTATTTCCCTATTTGAATATTAATTTAGCAATGATAATATTTTTTTTAAATATATAATATTATAGGAGTGTCTGAATTGTATCAAAGCTCCATTTTTACGCGCGCAACCAACGCAAGCACGGTTGGACAATATATGCTACCAATCCACATTGCCAATTGGCTAGTTTTGGACTAGGATCTTCTGATTGGTTAACTACGCTGGCGCCTTAAGTCGCGCATGATGTGTGCAGTGACTTAACGAGATCCTCTTAGCGCGGCGATTTTGTTTTTTCGCTCTTTCTCTGCGATAACGTGAGCCCATACGGACGTGTATTTTGTGCCTCCGATATTTGCGAAGTTATCTCGAGGAATTCCATACTTTCTACATCATTATTTTGATTTATCAAATATCCGCAGTGAGTACCTAACAGCATGTAACAATTAAATTGATAATTTCTTTTTTATTTTATGATGATTAGAAATCATTCGAGAGAAAGAGATTCGCGGTATTTTATTTTCAAGTTTCTATATATTTTATTAATATTATATGTTATATTTCTTATCGCAATATATTTGTCGCGTTCTTTTGGTATTATACAATAATTAAATAATTTGTTAAATAATATAGAAAGATGGGAATTGTTGCATTTGGCTCGATTTTCGTAACTTAGCAACGAGACGTCGGCGCGACTAACTAAAGGCCTGCACACAAAGGCGCGCCAACTCGTTGCTAAATTCTATACGTTTTACATATTATTTTAATTTATCAAATATCTGCAGTGAATATTTAACATCGTGTAACAATTAAATTGATAATTTCTTTTTTTATTTAATGATGATTAGAAAAATTATTCGAAAGAAAGAGATCGCGGTTTTTTATTTTCAATTTTCTATATATTTTATTAATCTTATATGTTATATTTCTTGTCGCAATATATTTGTCGCGTTCTTTTGGCATTAGACAATAATTGAGTGATTTGTTAAACAATATAGAGATGGGAATTGTTGCATTTAGCTCGATTTTTGTAACTTAGCAACGAGACGTCGGCGCGACTAACTAAAAGCCTGCACACAAAGGCGCGCCAACTCGTTGCTAAATTCTATACGTTTTACATATTATTTTAATTTATCAAATATCTGCAGTGAATATTTAACATCGTGTAACAATTAAATTGATAATTTTTTTTATTTAATGATGATTAGAAAAATTATTCGAAAGAAAAGATCGCGATTTTTTATTTTCAATTTTCTATACATTTTATTAATCTTATATATGTTATATTTCTTGTCGCAATATATTTGTCGCGTTTTTTTGGCATTAGACAATAATTGAGTGATTTATAAAACAATATAGAGAGATAGGAATTGTTGCATTTGGCTCCATTTTCTTAACTTAGTAACGAGACGTCGGCGCGACTAATTAAAGGTCTGCACAGAAAGGCGCGCCAACTTGTTGCTAAATTAAAAAAATGGAGCCAAAATATGTAACAATTCCCATTTCTATATTATTTAACAAATCACTCAATGTTATTATTTAATAAGAAAATGATAACATATTCTTTTATATGTTAACAATTTACAAGTCAAGAATTATTGCGATTTTTGTCAAGCCCTTATAATTCTTAATATATAAAGTGTCTTTTCGATTTTTTTAGGATCTATAATATTAAAAATACATGTCCACTTTTATACAAAAATTTTTTAATGATGTTTGAAATATATTTTTAATATATTTTTTTCCCTATCGTCATTGATCACACTATTTTTGAGTGTACGTTTCTTATGTTAGAGCGGTATATTCTAAATATAGCAAATGTTTCGAAATCTTTTGTTAAGGGATTAGACTGTACTGACCGGTCGAAAAAATAAATAATTTTAAAGCATGAGTTACTAAGAAATAAAACAAAGCTATAAACTTGTAATTTAGTACTTTATTTAAGTATGCGAGGGGTATAAAAGCATGTAAAAAGAAAACGTAAATAATATTTTTAATATCATTTATTAAATGTTAAAAAAAACTAATTTTTTTCACTAGTGTCGAAGATTTTTTGGTATGTACTCATTGGATCGACTTAAAGTTTTTTTTTTTTTTTTATTAACCTTTCTCTAAACATTGACATAGGATTTTTTCAATATCATTGTTAGTTTGCAAAATATTAACAAATTAATTAACAATTTTTATGCTAAAAATCAAACCAAAATTTCAACAAATTTTTTTATCGTGTACTTAAATAAAGTACTAAATTACAATTAAAATATGTGATATAATAAAAGGCCAACTTAACGAGCTTATATGATATTAATTGAAAATTTTTTTTATTAATTTACGTCATAATATACAAAAGTTAAGATAAACGTTTCGACTGTACGA